AAAGCTGGGGAAGGAGCTGATTTGCATTCCTACTTCTAGCAGTGATGCCTGAAGTGGACCTGAACTGCTATAGCTGGCACCAATGCTTAAGAGATATTTGGATTACCTACGGTCCGGGGCTATGAAATATTGTAGGAATCTGAGCCTGTTAGGTAAACACACGTACAGGTCATCTGGGTGGCCTAATTAGTTAGGGATGATCCGGATAGTGAGAGGCATAATCAGTTCACCTAAGAGGCCTAGTTGGAGGCGGTGGCAGCGCTCGTCTTCCCTGGGATCCGCTGCACGATTCCAGGGCTCACCCTGGCCGTGGTTGCCTGCCCTCCCTCGTAAGGGAAGGAAGGGAACACTGCTTCTGTATGGTAGGAGAACATCCTAAATGCCAGGAAAATGGCAGCGTTTTCTCTTAAAACTGTGCAGAAGGGGATTGAAATTGCCAGAGAGAATGAGCAGGATTCAGTTCTGAAGGCCACGCGAGGCTTTTCTTTGAGCAGGGGAGAAGGTTCCTGAATCTTATCCTTGCAGCAGGCTTTCTGTGTTAACAGGATAAAACTCACAAGCAGTGTTGAGCACTATAGGCACGATTTTTTATCATCTCCATCTGTTTTGGACACTAAAGATGAGCTAATTGAGAACACTGTTCAGGTGTTACATTGCCTAGCTCTAATTTTGTTTGCTTTGAATACTGTGAATTTATTCAAGTATTGGCATTTAAATATCCAGTTGCATCACATGAGCTATTATTCTTTTGACATAATAGAGCTAATGCTTCAACTGACATTTCTACTTGATCAGTCATTGCTACCTGTTATCTCAGCCCCCTTTTCCCCTGTGTAGAACCCCTGCAATTTAGAGAAGGAAATATCAGCCACTGAATTACTTCAGTTGACCAATTTCCTGTGGAGCAGGGTGACTACACAGTTAGCTGCCCTGCATCGATCTGCTGCTTGTCTTTCTTTCCCACAAGTCTCTAAAGAGTTTACCTGTCTCCTGTAGTTCAGGCAGTGCTGGGCTGTTGGGGCCTCCTCAGCACTGCGGCTTCCTGCACTTGTGGTCGAGGTCAAGGTTACACCCTTCCTGAGCTCTTCACCTCCCCAAAGTGCTGCTTGGCTCTCGCACCTCCGTTGCTGGGCCCTGCCACCGTAACTTAGCTCTGGTTTAATGGCACTGAGCAGCAAGAGCCCCTCATTCCTGAGGAGTTGCTACAGGGATGTGGGATGTAGCAGGAGCAGTCAACACCTCCTGGTCCGTCTGCTTCTGTCTACTAGCTTGGATGCAGCAGGACTTCCACTGTGGTGTGTGCATTTAGAGCAAGCTTGCCTGTCAGGGGCACCCTGTTGCACCAGCAGCATGGTTGGTGAGGACAGCTTATATCAGCTGCCAGCTTCCCTTTTAGGGTTTTGAGAAACAGGCCGAATTACTGCAAGCCCGTGGTGAAGAGTCACCCAGAAACTCGTAGCATCTCAAGTATCTTCTGCCCAGCTTCCGGGCAGGAAGCTGATGTGATGACGCTAGTCTTCCTGCAAGCCAGTTACAGCAGGCAGAGGTGGTTTCACCGACCTCGTGTTGGTAACGCGAGCTCTGCAGGAAGTTTGCACGGGGACTAGACCCCAGCTCAGCCCCCGGAGCAGCCGGCACGGAACCGGCCAAGCCGACCTGCTCCTGCCCCAAGCGACCAGTCTGAGAGGTGCAAGGAGAGCACGGGCATCTCCAGGCACAGAGCACTGATGCTGGCAAGCTTGGAGGGAACTGAGGGCTTTGGTCCCCTCCTTTCCACCTACCACTGTTTTCCACCCCCACACAGCGGTCCCTTTGTGGATGAGCTTTTTTCTTCTCTGTCCACCTTTTGAAACTCTATAGGTACATAAGAAAAGCAAGGTCTCATCAGAATTGTTACATAAAGCAGTAGGATCAACTTTAAAATCCTTCTTCTGAAAATGCAGTAATGACTTTAGGTAATAACATCAAAACTACTCAAAGCTCAAAACATCTTGAGCTATTACTGTAGCTCAAGAAAAAAGTCACTAGAGTATTTAATGGCACTCCTGTAAAGTCAATGTCTTGACCTCTCTGGAAGAAATATTTACACATAATTAAAACCAAACAATCAGGCTTTTAGGTGGAATATTCAGCTTGGGAATGCTGGGTGAGAAATGAGCTGTGTGCAATAGCTGACTTCACAGCAAGCAAATTGAATGCTGCTCCAGAAAATGCAATCAAGTGTTTAAATTATGACACTAGCTTCAGTGTTCTCAGACCCTGCAATTCTGCAATTAAAGTTGAAAAATTTTTAATTGAACTTATTTGGCTGGGATTCATAATGAATAGCAGCAGATGAAATTAATGGCCCTGGGTTTTTGCAAGCTACAAGTTTTCCTAGTAGACCTGCAAGTTTCGAAGGCAGGGAATGATCAGAAGCCAAGTGTTTCTTTCAGAAACTGAGTAATGGGAGGCATCGCAGCATTGCTGTGTGCAAGGACAACTAACAGTACCTGAGTCAAAGGAGCTGGATTTTTTCTGAACTGCCTTCTCCACGCATCCCCAAATCTTTTCCTCCCTCTGATATCCCTTTGGAAAAAATGGTAGGAGCATGTCAGTAAATTTGTAATGTGAAAACCTCAGCGTAGTCTGAATGCTAGGAATTTGCATATGCTAATTAATAAGTTAAAGTGTAATTTAATTCTGAGTTTGGTAAGGCTTAAACACCACCTGCGTTAGATTCAGTGAAATTGATTTTTTAACATTCCAAATAAGCTTTACGTGCCAAAGAGCACCAAGTGTCAATTATGTCTATCGTGACTATGCAGAATGAGAGTTTACCCTCTTTTTTTATAGTATTCTTCCTTCTCCAATGGTAGGTGGTTTCCATGACTGGAAAATTCACAGGGATGAGTGAAGATTCTGTACTGGTTTAAGGCTGCTGTCATCAAGTTAAATGTGTAACTGATTTACTCAATTCAGGTTTTTTTTTTCTTTTATTTTTTCTAGGTGCAATAGGAAGCAGTATGTAGAAGGAAATCCTTGATAACAATCAACTTTAGTCTTCTGTGCTTTAAATTTAGGGCGTATCGGCCTTGCCGAGGCTGCCTGCTGCTTTGAGTGCTTAATGGTGGTGGAACTGGGCTTGTTTGGAGGGTTGAAAGCTTCTGAGTTCGGGCAGTGAGACAGTCGTGTCTGGGTGTGAGGCTGCCTCTGTCACAACTGTAGCATTCACTTGTAACATCCTCCCTGTTTTTTGTCTGCGAGATTTCCAGTTGAAGAACAAGCTGGAGTTGCAAAATCAGGAGAAATCTGTTAGCACAGATTTTGAGCAAACTCTGGCCATTTTGGTCACAAATAAGTCTTTACCCATTACAGTTGTGATATAAGGGAAGAGTAACTCCTGTTATACCCGCAGTATCCATCCACTGTCTACGTTGGCAGGTGATATGGCTAATTCAAGGTTCCCCTTCGTTATCTGACAAGTTCTGTTATGATTAAAATATTCGTGTTACTGTGTAAAGGTAGACGTATACTAAAATTATACCACCACCCCACCACCACCTTTAGAGCATTTGAAGAAGCAACTGTGAAGCTTTCTTCAAGTTATTTCTGCTAAAACTTTTACTGTAGGTTACAGGAAAGATTAGCAGTCAGTTCTAGTACCTCTGAAGAAGCGACTACAAAGAAGGGAGCAAAATTCATATCTTCACCCATGGGAGCTGCATTGTGGTTCTTGGACAAAGACTATAGATCTTTCTTAGGCAGTAGTTGACACTCCAGACAGTTATTCTGATGCTATTCTAGGGGAGAGAAATGAAGTTTGTTGGTAATAAAATCCTAAAAAGCTGGCATGGTGCTTCTTTTCATCACTGTTAACCTGTGGAAATGGAAGTATGATGTGAGTAGTGGTGGAACAGGCTGCCCAGAGAGGTTGTGGAGTCTCCTTCTTTGGAGATCTTTAAAACCTGCTTGGACGCAGCCCTGTGCCCCGTGCTCTAGGTGACCCTGCTTGAGCAGGGGGGTTGGACTAGATGACCTCTGAGGTCCCTTCCAACCTTGGGCATTCTGTGATTGTATGGTACTTAGATAATCTTGTAATGCAACAAGAGATGTTTTCATTCTGCATGAGTAAGCCACTTTGGCAAGATGTTGATAAAGGGGTTGAGAAAAACCTAATTTAGAGCCCATTACTCAGATTAGATATGGTCCTTCAAGAAAGACCTTGGAATTGCAGTAGATCTGTGAAGCATGAACTTGATGTTCTGTAGTTGAAAAAGGAGGTAAGGATAGAAAACAGAATTACATCTGCGAAGTGGTTGAGGTTGGGCTGAATCTCCAGAGATCATCGAGTCTAACCCTACTCAGAAAGGGTTAGCTAGGTCTTCATGATTGGAGACCCAACGGCCCCTCCAAGTAACCCATTCCAGTGTTCACTGTAAAAAAATAAGAACTAGAAAGTCTACCTTAGATTCAGACAGTGTTCCTGTATTCCCTTTCTTTTTCCCCAGTGTCTCTTGCCCTGCCACTGGGCATCAGTGAGAAGAATCTGCCTCTTCTAAACCTTCCTTCAGATATTCATACGCATTGATAAGATTATCCCTGTCATCTTTTCTTCTCCAGGCTAAACAGTGCTATCTTTCATTTTTATATCATATGAGAGATGTTCTAGCCTGTAATTACGTCCATAATTTATTATGCCTAAATGACGCCCATAATAAAAAGTTTGCTTAGGAAAATTTCTGCTAATTGAGGCCATCTGGTCTGGAATAATGTTCGTCTTATTTTTAAAGGAGGATGGTTTCATAGAGCCAACTGGGAATGATCCTAGTGAGTGTGAATTCTCAAACCATGCTCAGGAATTATAGGAAGTGGCTAGTAGCTGTAGACCAAAATCATACTGGGAAGTCATCAGAGTTGCTGCCCCAAATAAAGGACAAAATTAACAGATATTTTGCTAAAAGATGAAATGTATACTTGTAATTTGATCTAAAAGTAATAGCTGCTTTTCCTTTTAGACAATGTCTTCAGCAGTCGTTCAAATATATGCAGCAGATCGCAATGCCATGTGGTCGAAGAAATGCTGTGGTGTAGCTTGCCTTGTAAAGGACAATCCACAGAGGTCATATTTTATCAGAATATTTGACATCAAGGTAAGTACCCTTTTTGGCTTCCCCCCCCCCTCCTTTTCACTCTTTAAATTCTGTTGTATTCTTTCACTATTTTGAATTGAATGAATTGTTACATGTACAACTTCATACAAGAATGCTGAAGTCAATAGATGTCATACTGTAAGCAGTGCATTGCAATTACAATGCTTATTAATAGGTATTTGTGCATTTTTGTGAGCTATTCTAAATTCCATCATCTCATAGATATCATTTCTTAGGAAACAAAGTTCATGTATGATTTCTCTTACAATTCACAGAAGCAGTTTTCTACTAATCTAACTACTAAAATTAGTAGAAAATAGTATAATGTCACCTGTATGGGTACGTGTCAAAGCTTCAGCAGGTTTCATTGTGTTATATTTTCAAATTAGATACTGTCTTTGTAAGTGTGAGAAAAAGCAACTTTAAGATTGATGTGTTGGGGTATGTGGAAGTTGCAGGGCAAACGTGTATTTTCCATGATGTGTGTGTGTTCAAACTGAGGATGTTTATCCTGCTGTAATATTTCGTTCAAGACAGATTAGGGAATAGGAGCTATATAGGGAATAGAAAAGGAAACAGGGAATAGAAAGTGTGCATGGCACGTTTTCATAACCTGATACAGAGAAACGTAAGTCCTAGTGCCTTTCACCAAGGAGGTGACTCTGGAAGTCTCCCCGTTGTCCCTAGGGCTGGGAGCAGCATTCGGAGTTTGACCTCTGTCACTCGCTCCAGAATGCCTGCTGGCATTCTTTGAGATTTGGCCACTTAATTATTAGATTTGAGTGAAAAACTTGGTCCTTGGCTATCATACTGCAATGCCATAGATAGCAACTTCAAGAAATTTTCACCTTTGTAAAGTTTTATTTGAAGGCTGACCTGCAGGTAGGTAGCATACTGGCAGAAGCCTCCCTTACTGTAATTACTATTATAGCTATGTGATTGTTGTCACTGATATCACTGTTATTACTGCCAGTATCAGGATTGCAGATTGGAGAATTCGAAAGATATTTTTGAAAACATGCAGGAATTTGCACAGAAGGCAGAGACTTGTAATTGTCTGGGGCCTCTCCATGTCCCAGTGCACTTTGAACCCATTCTTTGGGGAGTGGCCAGGGTAGATGCTTAACACGACAGAGATCCAAACTTTTCATAAGTTCTAATGTGAAATGAGTTAAGCTTGGCAGTGTGATTTCAAAATATTTAAATATGTATATTTTTTTCCCTTTTTGTTTCCTTTTCAGGATGGGAAATTATTGTGGGAGCAGGAGCTGTACAATAACTTTGTATATAATAGTCCTAGAGGATATTTTCATACCTTTGCTGGAGATGTGAGTCTTAATGTCTTTGAGTACTTATTTTAAAATATTCTTTACTTATTTCAACAATAGCTTCTTCTAGTACAATTGAGGTCTTCACCTTCATTCTGTAAATTTCTTATAAAATACAATTTTAATTGTTCCTTGAAGATTTTTCTTTATAAAGCTTTTATTGTGCCTCAATTAGAAGATTTAATCCATAAGGCAAGCATAGTACATTTTCACTTCCCTGGTGATGCAGATTTCACGTATCCTTAAAGCATCACGAGTTTGGGGCTTTTTTGCCCCCTTTGATTTCAACCTACAGGATCTTGCTCAATTTTGTTGAAGTATGAGCTTTAGAAACTTGATTAATAGGTGAATATCCCCTAGTTAGAATATGTTTTCATTCAGATTTGGTGCCCAATTTACCATGTGGTGTTTTTCTTGTTTTTATTTTCCTGGTTATGTCTTCAAAAGGTTTAAGAAAACAATGAAGAAAGCCTTTAAAGTGTTTTCTTTAGTCATAGGTGGGGGGGAATATTAATGTTTTTCAGACATGTCAAGTTGGTCTTAATTTTGCTAATGAAGAAGAAGCTAAACTATTCCGAAAAACGGTAACAGATTTACTTGGACGACGGCAAAGAAAATCTGGTAAATATTCAAATTAATCTTAAGTTCAGGCTTGTTTATGTTGTTTTTTGGGGGGAGGCAGGAAATAATGTCTATGTTTGAAAGCTCCTGGAGCCATTTCTGCCATATTTCTGTGTAGAAATAGGAAAATATGTTTCATTTTTCTACTGAGCAAAAAATATTTTTCTGTTAATATTTTTTTATTTTTAACCAAGTTACTTGGTGCTTTCACTGCAAGTTTCTCTGCAAGTTGAACTCCAAGGTTATGGTGTTTGAAAATATAGACAAGAAGCAAAAAATTAAGTTGTCAGTGGGAAAACTGGAAATTTTCCTGTAAGCTGTTTTCATATTTGATTAGACACTCACTTAGCTCTGGGCTGTTCATAACTAATTTGTTTAAATTCAGCCCAAGTGGGTTGTAACGAAGGCTTTACCATCTGGGATGCTCAGGAGTGCATGTGAATGAATTACTGGCATCGGTCCAATGTTTAGCAGAGAAATGTCTTTTATTCACAAGCAGCAATCTTGTGAGAAGCCAAGAACAGAGACGCAGTGTGCCTATAGTGTTCCTAGCAGTGCAGGACGCTCTGAAGCATGACGTGCATTTTGCCAGCTGCACGGTGATGCCCGAGAAACATGGCCACAGTTCTGAAGGGAGTCTGGGCTCTTTACAGATCCTGTCTGGGTCCTTTTATGAGGAGCCCATAAACAACTTGCCCGTCTGACAGGCACGTGACTGCGAAGGATAAGCTGATGTTAAACATGGGCTGGGCACGCACGGATGTTCTCAGACTTGTTGCAGGCAGGAACATGGGCTTGTATACAAGCTGCGAGGTGCAGTTTTGTGCTCCATTCTGGACTGGAATTGCACTAGGAGTTCAGTATAGTCCAGTGTAAAGAGAGGAATCTCTGCTCTTGCAGTGCCCTCCTTGCCACAGTAAGCTCCTCCTTCCTCAGTAAGCTACGTGATCTGTGTAGTCATGTAGGTTTCCATCAGGGAAGGTGCCTCAAGCACAGAGCTTTTAGTCTGCAAGCTTAAACGCTGTTTTAAAGTTTACCTACAGGCCAAGTTAGAATATGTGTGTGACTTCTTGAGAAGAGTGAGGGCACTAAGAAATGGTGGAATTATGTATGTTTTGGAGATGTAGAATAATTTCGCATCAGCCTGAATCTCCTGATCCTGAAGTTTCATTCTATTAACTATCATCTGTCTAGAATACTGAGGTACAGTGCACAGACCTGACTAGGGAGGAAATAGATGTCCAAGTTGTTGGCCGTGATAAGCTATGTTTGAAAATGAAGTGGTTTAGTGAAAAACCCTTCTCCTGTTCACAGGGCGATCACAGTTCTTCCTCATGTAATTTTTCTTCACAGGACAACAAAAAATTTTCATGCTTGTTTTGAGCAAATGTCTTGGTTTCTGTGCTGAAAGGCACACTGTAGTATGAGCTTACTGATATGTTTTTAACTACATGTTGAAGATGACTTTTTTTTAAAAAAGTTTTTTTCCTTTGTTCAATTTTAAAGCAAGAATTCAAAAAAAAAAAAAAAGAGGGACTGGTCCTTGAACAAGCCACCGGATGGAGTTTCATATTTATGCCGTGGATGGGATTGTATCTAATTGCAAATCTAAAATAACAGGCTTTACACTTATCCAAGTCATAACCTGAATTGCAAATTGGCATAATACTCTTTAATGCAATTAACCTCTCAAAAATAGACCTTGTGTAGTCAGGTAGATGCTCTTTCTTTTTAAAGGGATTTTGCCACTTCTCTACCATCCAAAATATATTTCATTTCATCATGGCACCACCTGACATATTTTCCGCTGAAATGAGCGCTCCTTGTAATCACTTGGTAGCATCATTTGCCATTCAGCCTTGCTGCAAGATTTATCCAGGAGTCTTTCAGAAAGCCCTTGTCTTTGGGAGGTAGCAGGAACAACCATTCTGCCTCAGCAAGCTGAGGCTCCTGTGCAGAGTACCCAAGAGCTGCAGACACGGGCAGGTCCTCTGCCCTCTTGCACGGTGGGTGACATGTGTCCCGCTGTGGGGGCAGCTCTGGAGCCAGCGCGTCTGCACTTGCACTGAGGTGCAAGTCCACACTGAACACACACAAGCAGTTTGTTCATGGGGAGGCTTTAAATACAGTAGAAAGGGAAAGGGGAAGGAAGGGAGGAAGGAAGGAATTGATGTGAAATCTTCCTGTACCAGGGTGCTATCTAGTTAAATTGTTATTAAAAGAAAAAAAAAAAAAGTCAGAATTATATTCTCATCTTTAGGAAGAAATTACTGTAGTCATTTCATTTCTCTTGACTCATTCACATGGCCTTTATACTTAATTCTTAAAGATTCATCCCAAATAGTTCCTCTTAGTAAGCAGAGTGAACACTGTGTTCCACTTGGTGCTCATCAGCGTGATACGTTGATGCTTTGGGTCCATCTGCACTCAGGACCATGAATTATTTTAGTTTCTTATTTTCCATCAGGAATGTCGATGGGCCTATAGGCGCAGGGCCTGTCCTCGCTGTGTGCTGAGCTCTTAGCCATAATGGTGCAGCAGAGTCTTTTGCCTGGTTCTTAGCTTCCTTGGAGGTAGAAGCAGGTTTGAGTGCTTGGCTGACTTTATAGACAACTTGCACTTCCAGCGTGAGAGCTTTGTTGATGCTCGCAGAAGCTCTGCTTACTGTGTGAGCTTTAGCTCTTTACACCCTTCCCAATGCACTTCAGGAGCTTCATAGAGTGGCTGCTGGATATGGAGAACATCTGGCAGCTATAGAAGAACTGATGACTTGCAGCCACAGATGCACCTTTGTATAAACACCCAACAAAAATTTCTGGAAAAAGTGTTTAAAGTGTCTCAATTTGTTTTCTGTTACTTTATCTCTTGAACTCTGTTTCTCCTAATAAATATTGTAATGGATTCCTTTGATTTAGCACAAGGTCGCTCAGCATTTCCTGTGGATGCAGAGTGCTTTTGCCAGCATCCCATCCTGTGCCAAATGACTTGCTCTCAATCCTACGCTCTCCTTTACCATTTCTCCGAGTTGCTGCTTCCCAGATAGGACTGTGAATGTGCTCCAGAAGTTGAGTAGCCTTTTGGCAACCCAACACAAGTAGTTCTTAGGTGTTCAAGGAGAGAAAGCACAGTATTGGGCAAAAAAAAAAAAAAAAAAAAACCACCTTTTTTGTCCTCCAGACCTGGTAGCTTCTGCTGAGGTTTCCCTGCATAGGCTTTCCATCTCTGCCTGGCCAGGCTCTGCTGTGAGCTAAGAGGCGGTGCCTGTCCTTGGAAGACTTCTCAGCCAAAGAAGATTTTCAGAGCATTTTTCTTCTGTTCATCTCATGAAGGTTCCATGATCTTGAAAAGTTCTTTATTCTCACCTGAAGATCAGTTTGCCAGGCCACAGTGCCCTGCATACTGAAGTGTGGAGTGGATTTTACTGTATTAGGTCAAACCAGTCTGGACATGCCTGCTGGCTTCCTTGGGGAAGACCAAGTGTGTGTCTTGAAAGATACAGTGGACTTGGGCTTACTGAAAAGTCAATGGTCTACTAAAAATTCCCGTTACTACAAAACTCTTTGGAGTCCCTGTTAGGTGCCAGGTATTCTGGATTTAAAAGTGAGGATACAGTGTCTTATGTGTTGTATGGCAGGAGAGATGATAAACTGTGCTTGCCCATATGGGTGCTGTTAAACCCCAAACTTCTGAGAACGTGTGCACAGGTATGTCAGTGGTGTAAATGTAGCTGAACTACATGTCTTGAAGGGTGATTGTAAATGTCTGAGGCAGAAAAATGTGAACTGTAAGTGAGGGAAACACCTTTTAAAGGAGGGTTGACCATTACAGGCTGCCAGGAGTGTCTAAGGGTCCTGAGGTGTGAAATGCTCGCAACTACATTTTGATATTTCAAACCAATTTCTTCAAGCTCAGCGAAACAGTTGGGCTTAGTGCCTATAATAACAGCATTACTAGTTAGGAGAGTGGGTGCTGATTTTTAGTTATCTGGTCACATTAGGTAAATCGACTTGTCTCTTATTCTTTGCGTATAAAACAATTGTGAAGGGCTTTGGGGTCTGTGAGAACATCACTGCTTGGAAGTGCTATTTGTGCTTCAAATTAAAATGAAGGACGTGGTCTCATTTCCTAGTAATCAAAAAGTGCAACACATGATTTAGAAATCCTGTGTTGATGGGTTTTGTCAAAACAAAGTCATTTGAAAGCTGCTTGAGGACTACAAAACTTGGTAAAGTATTCAAAACATCTGAAACTCGGCCATTTCATTATGTTTGTATTTGGTTTGCTTACTTAAAATTCATGCCTATTTCTAAGTTTTTTTTATAGTTTTATAATGCTTAATTTTGTTTCAGTTGAGTTACAAGTCTAAAAACAAGAACGTTCTTAGGTTCTTAAGAGTGAGTTCAAGGTCATTCAAAGCTTCAGTAGAAAAGTAATATTTAGAAGGAAAGTTTCCAGTGATACCAATGAATAAACAGCTCATTTTCTTTTTCTCTCTTTTTTTTTCCCCATCAGAAAAAAGACGAGACCCACTGAATGGTAAGCTTCTTGCATGAATCTCTACGTTTTATTTGTTTTCCCCCAATTCTGTCCATTGTTGTTGCTCTACATATTTGCTTTGGACTTGGTGAGGATAGTTATGTGGTAGAGAAAGCAGTAAATTTGTATGCTGGAGGCCAATATATTTGTTTTGCTTTTATTCTTTGGTATTTGTTTAGTTCTTGCTTGGAAGATTTGTGGCTTTTGGAGGAGCATGATTTACAGCAAGTAGAACAGAAACCCTTCAGCTTAACCTATGAAGAAAGCTTTGTATTTTTTATTTGCTGCTGGATTTGCAGAATACATATATAAAGTTGATATACAGAACCTTGCTGAAATCAAAGGGCAGTTATAAGGGAGGTATTTACTTAAAGATAAGTTTAATCATGACTCAATTCATGAAACACTTATAAAATCTGAGTTTCAATATATGCCGCTACCGCAGTAGCATAGTCTTTTGGACATATACTGTATGTTTTTTGATGGTAAACATTTTCCTTGCATACAAGGATTATTTGAACACATCTTGCTGACATGAAGATACAGGCTCCCTGAGAAGATCTTCCCATCACTAAATTGATGGAAGGTATCAAAACTAAATATAACTTTGATTGAAACATGTTATCGTTTTTTCTAAGATGAAGTGAAAAATGCACAGCAGAGAATATCAAGCTTAGTTAAGACTATTATGAACCCACACTGAACCTAAAAAGTGATTTAATCTGTAGTATTTCTGTTGGTGATTGGAGCATAGGTAATATGGTAACAACTATTAGTTTGCTACTTGAGCAGAGATATCATCACCTGATCATCTGATATCCCTCAACCCTGAGGACAGCTGTAAACCTGCAGACTTGAGGTGGTCTTAGGCTTATACTAACCAAGGTGTCTAAGCATCTTGGTAGTTGGGTAACACAAGTAGGTAATTGCTAACCTATTTCCAAATAAAGCCTTCGTAGGGTCGAACATGGCTCAAATAAATGAATGTTTCTGTTCTCATAAACATTTAAGTTTGGAGGAAGCCCAGGCAGTAACGTGGGTAACTCTGGGTTGGTTGATCATTTCTGATACCTGTTTCTCGGTAGGATTCCTTCAGTTTCTTTGATCCCTTGAATTTCTTTAGGCTTCAGCTTGCAGTTGTTTTCCTTTTTCAGCAGCGTTTGCCTGCCCTCCCCTGAACAGTGTCTGCTTGATAGCAGCGTCTGCAGGGCAGAAGGGAAAGCGAAACAGCAGTGGTGGTACCACGGGCCACAAAATAAACCAGCTTTTGTCTCTGCTATGTTTACCTACAGTAACACAAACAAATCATTTGTCTGACTTGCCATCTCTGGCAGTGGGAGGATTGGAGAAAACCTATGAAAACTTTTGTACTAAAAATATAAATGGAAGTCTCCATTATTCATCCTGTTATAGCCAGGATGCCAAGAGCAGCTTCTTAGGAGAGCGCTGATGAGCGAAACTTGCCGTACTTTGATCCTATGCATTTTTGCTGGCCTCTTCTATAAAAAAACACAGGTTTATGCCCAGTGTTAATGCTTGTAATCACTAGTCAAAGCTCTGCGCACCTCTGTGTTTACTAACCTGGGCTGCCCATGTCCCTTTCATGTTCTCCTTGAATTTTATAAAGCTCAACTGTTTTAGTGATAAAGGTTTGGTTAGCCGTGTTCCTGCCTTCTGTAGTTGCAGGTGAGACCCCGATGGCGATGGACTTCACACTCCTCAGTTCTTGTAAGCCAGGCTAGAGCAGACACACATTGTCAGGGTTTAACTGAAGAAGCAGCTCTTGTAGGGTAAATTGGGGGTTGTATTGTTCTCTGTATATAGTGAAAAAATATTTTTCAAGAATGGTTTACCTGATTTTTTGTTTCCTGCTGTGCTCTGTATCAGTTACATGGTCTCTTATCAACTGAGGAGCAGGAACAGTCACGTCTCTGGAAGCGTGTGATCTGTGCCCAAACGCTGTGGGGCATTTGGTTTTAGCTGGGGCTTGGTTAGAGTTTCTGCGTATGCCGAGGTAAATGTCAAGTTGTATAGGAGAAAATATTGCTTTCAGTGGTAGGGATTAAAACTTTTTTTTTAATTTTATTTTTGTTTTGTTTTACAGAATTGCAGGATTAAACCAAATTAGCATTAACAGTTATGTAAAGTGTGTTAGCCTGTAATTTCCTGGGATTTACATTCCGCTCTCGTTTGTAATGACGAGGTCTCTATGCAAATAAAGAGGAGTTACTGTGTTTGGACTGACCTCTTGGTGAAGTCCTGCCCGAAAGAGGGATTTGTTGGACAACCGGGCTTGGAGGGAAGCTCTAAGCACCATGCAACAGACCTGTTTCAGCTGCTAACTGGAGCAGTTTGCAGTTATTCTTAGGCATCTGTTCGAGGCTACAGACAGGCCAGAGACATTCTAAAATACAAGGAATTTTCTAAAGTGGAAAATACTTCAAAATGTTTTGTACCACCTTTTCTGGACCTCCTTCTGAAGACATCGCAGATACTGCTGGCAGTGGGTGCTTAAAGCCGCTGTATTGTCAGGTTCTTCCTAATGATGAACTCTATGTGCCCCTCTCGTCTTCATTTATTGAGCTGTCTGTAGCTGATGGGGAAGGTGCATGTATTATGATGGGAAAATTTTTGCTGGATATAAATATGGCAGTTCTAGAAGAGTATAATTCTTTTCAAGGTCCTTATATCCCTCACGGACATCTAAGAGCTAAGGCTGACGGTAAGAATCACTTCATCTTAAAGATATTTCTGTAATATCTAGAACGGATGTTAGTGTCGAAGAACCAGGCTGTCAGCACTTAAATTGAGTTTGGGTAAATAATATCTCATTTTGTAAGTGTCTTTTGCTTCATGTAGCTTTTTATGGTTAATCTAGGCTTTGCATGCAAAAAGCAAGGCGTATATTGAAAGCTTTGGTCAACTGTGAGGGTATTGAGGACTTGCTGGCAGTTCAGCAGTTGCATTTTAAGTTTCACTGTAGCTTGAAACTGCAAATACCTATAACAGTAAGAGGGTATAATCAGTGGTGGAATAAAGAGGAAATTGCTGCAGTGTTTTATATTAAGCTATGAAATAAAGGCTGTAATTGTCTCTTCATCCTAAAGAAGCACTTAACTGCACATTTAAGTCTGCCATTGATAGTATTGATCAATTAGTGAATTTAATGCTAATGCTGAGTGTTGCTGTGCACAGCAGTATGTGGTCAGTGTGTGTTTGGGACTCTCACAAGACAGCAGTCTGGACTGTAGCCTTTCTGCTTTTGTAATTGCTGCCAGCAGCAAACACTTGCTGTCCTGTGTGCCCTTTTCATGCAGTTTTAAATCTTGTCCTCGCCCAGTTACAGTGGGATGTAGGAGCTGCCAGACGAGCTTTGTCTAGCTCAAAGCCTCGTCTCTTGTTCTGTTTTTGTTTCCCGTTCTGGCCATCACTAGCTCCTTGCTGCAGAGGTGTTAAACCACAAGGTCAGATAACGCTGCTGTCACAGGCCCCGCTGCATCGGCCTGCACGGTGTGATCCCGGCTGTCGGGGGGCTGGTGCTTTCAGAAGGTGTAGGGTGGCTGTGGGCTCCCTACAAACACCGTTGTCAATAGCTGTCAAAAGGCTTTTGTTCTCTTGTTTTTGCTCCTCCGCTTCAGCATGCGGTCAGAAGTCTGAGTTTGAGATAAACTGGTTAAATTGACTTGCTGACCGTTGCATGGCAGATTGGAGGGGAATGGAAGATGGCTGCAGTTTTGGAAGAATTAGATTAGTGATCCATGTAGATAGCTTTGTTTTGCTTTTTGAGGGCCTACGCCATATGAACAACAAGCTTAAATTGCTTCTTAGTGTTTAAATACCGCTAACATGTAAGAGCTATCTTCAGTGGAAATGAAGAAAAAAATGGGTGGAAAAGCTGCTAGAAAAGATCTCTTACTAGTGCTGTACACACAACAGATACAAGTAGAATGCCAAAATTGACAGGAGTTTAATTCAGATACATTTAAAATAAATACACTAATTATTTTAACATTTCTGATTTGTTAATCTCAAGAATGAGGTATGAGAATTTAATAATTTGAGTGTTTAATTTGTTTTCCCTGCTGCCTTTGTTCCTAGTACTCTTCAAGCTCAGTTTTTGTCTGTCTTTGATTATTTTGTGTTGTAATTTTGAATTATTTTGTAATTTTGAATTATTTTGCAAATACTCTGGTGCTTCAGAGACTTCACAACACATACAGAGTGAAGCCTGTTTACAGTCTGAAGTTCTTGTGAAGTTGTGTGTGCTGTAACAGAAATCATTCCCATTTGATGCTTGCTAAGCCACAGATCCTCTTTAAGATCAGTTTACTGTGCTGTCAGGTTGTGCTGCTGTCACTGTTTTATTTATGGAAGTCAGAATACCTACATCTAGGATTGTAGTTACAGTTGTTTCCTTGTACAGACACGTCTTGGTGTTTCTTGTTCTGATGAGTGAAAAATTTCGCGAATGCTGTACCTATCATAATTCAATTTCAAATCATCTCCTATGTCAAAATTACAAAAATTAAATTCTAGTTCATAAAACTATGCTGGCATTGCTCTGCTCCAGCAACATTTTTCTTCAAACAATTTGGTTAATACTTCTGACACCCAGCACTCAGCTGCATGTGGAACACTGGCTCTGGTGTGAGTAGTTTCTCATTCACAAGAAGTATATATGTATGGAGAGGGGTGGGGACTTAGTAGGTTAAGAATGATTTTGTTGAAGAAATAGTAAAAATCTTGTATGTTTTCTTCACAGGTCCAAATCTACCAATGGCAACTGTTGATATCAAAAACCCAGAAATTACTACTAACAGATTTTACACACCACAAGTCAACAATATTTCATATACCAAAGAAAAGAAGAAAGGAAAAACTAAAAAGAAGAGATTGACAAAGGCAGATATTGGGACGCCATCTAACTTCCAGTAAGGACATTCTTGAGTTTTGCCAGTCACACGTGCAAATACGCCAGGCTTAAACTGTGTGACCGTTGAGTCACCTCAGTTATAGTGGATATGAGCCAGCACATTGTGAGGTTTCAAGCAATTACTTTAGACACAGGCGAAGTTCACTTCAGTTCTGAACACAAGTAACTTGCTGTCCTTAAGTCACTTAGCTGCATAAAGATGCCTTGGTTAAGTGGTCAACCTAACAGCCTCATTGATCATCTTTTTAACACCATGTTCTTAGGCTGTGGCTGTAAGTTGTCCTACAAAGTGCACCTGCCAGTTTGGTTTTGCAAGGTGATGGAAACAGTAGAGCCATGTGCTCATCTCTGGCTTCCTGTTTGTAACGTTACTCACTGTGGTCCGTGGGCAGGCGCTGTGTCTTGTGATGGAAGCCCAGAATGCCTTGGACACCTGGTAATCAATGGAGTTTGCTTGCTGTAGTTTCTTACGTGATAGCTGTTGCTATGAGGGAAGATACTGTTTGGAAAAGCTCTGCCTAAGTTTACTGAATTGCTGGTTTATTGAGTGGTAATTTGATTGTTTGATCTTCAGCATTTTAAAATAAAATGCTGCTGCTTTAACAAATAAAAAACTTGAGTTAATTGCAGGAAACATCAGTTTGCTTGAAATCTTAGAAAGCAAATGTTAGGAATGCATCTGAAACTGGTAAGCCCTGTGCTTTTGAAGCACTCCCTGGCATCATTTACACTGATGCACTTTTCTAGATTGAAAATCCCTAATATAATTTTAGGGCTACTAGTTACCATAATATTACAATTATAGCAATATAGTGTTTTGAGAGAGTGTTCTGTAGAATAGAGCAGAGGACAGAAAATAAAGGAGAGGCTGAAATCCATCCCCGACCAGGTTGTGCTTAGATACTTCAGACGTCTTGCTGAGTAGAGAACTGACGGGCTGCATCTGTTCGGACAGGCTACATCTGTTCATGTCTCTTCATACTGGAAAAACAGAGGAAATTGGTAGCTGGTCACTGCTGTAGCTCTGCTGATGGTCCAGGCAGACAAAACGGCAAATCACAGTTTGCCCTGATGTACCTGGCCTCTGATCAGAGCTCTTGAGGGGTGTAAAGCAGTCCCCATAATATACTGAGTATGAGACTGTGCTACAGTGTCTGTCAGACTCTCACAGTTGTGGAACTCTTCATGTGCAGTCATAAAATATTCAGGTTGTCCTAGAAAAGCTGAGAATAAGATGATATGAAATATTGAATGAAGTTCAAACAAAGGATATGTTCTAGTTTGTGTCAGGATTTGTATACAGGCTAAGGTTAAATGTAATTTTAAATCAAATATAGTGAATCTTTGCAAAAGGAGCTTGAAAATGTGGGAGTAGCTTTTCAGTTTCCCTATTCTGAGCAGTTAAAAAAATATACTTATATAGCATACTGCTGCATGCACTTAAAAATATCACAGAAACTGTGGTTACCTCATGAAGATTTCCAGAGGTTTGTTTTTCATTGCAGGGCATAATGTTTATGGTCATTAGGTACAAGTAACTTACTTTTTTTACCTTCCTTTGAGGTATCAAAAAATGAATAACAAATATTAGTATTTTACTTCTTAAGAACTTTAGTATCCATGAAGTGCTGTAATCATGTTTGATTAATAGTTATCATGCTCACAAACTGTACAGGTATGCAAGGGTGTAAGATTATATTTGTTAGTAAACTTCTGTTAACTTGCCTATGCCAGTTTAAAACAGTATAATTGGATTTGAGACTATACATTTGGAAGTACATGTCCAGTTTGCATGAAGCAAGCTGTATTGTAACATCCAGAATAATACCATGGTGATAAGTCTGACTGTATGTTAATAATAAGAGGAATTCAATGTGCCTTCCATTTAAATAAATCTTACATATTTATATTAACATTTAAGCAAAGCAACGGGCTTTTAGTTCTGCCTTTTCTGTATACAAAGCAAAGGGCTTTTAGTTCTGCCTTTTCTGTAGCATAATGCAACTTTTAAGTCAGACTTTCCCCTATTCTTATCTCTTAAGCTAAGAAATCAGCTTCATGTAGTTACATCAAAACCAACAACTAGACGTAGAACAGCATCATCACGGAGGGAACTTGGCCTCTGGTGGTAGTAACAGCCACAAGCCTGGATCCAACAGCCCTTGTGCTGGGCACTTAAAGAAAAAAAAAATAAATAAAAATAAATAAAACAGAGAGAAGGCAAGACAGTCTTTGCAATTTGGCAGGCTTCTCTCTTCTACTGTCTTTTTAGATTAGAGTATTGAATAATATCTTTAATATCCACGTGAAGTGGGCACCAGATTTTTAGAGGAGTCAGGTTGGAGTGAAACCTAGATGAATGACTACTGAAAATTGTCCTTATTTTATTTCTCTGCAAAAACAAAGTGAATGAGAGGCATGTCAGGAAAGTGAGAGCCAACCAGGATGGGAGGCAGGAGGAGGACTGCAACCCTGTGACGCTCTTCAGTGTGACAGATGCTCTCCTTGGTCGTGTGCAGCCCTTGCATTGGTATCAGTATAAACTGCAGGATACTACAGAGCCTTAACGTCTTCCTGAAGACACCCCCTAAGGGTGAAATTGGGGCTTTGTCTGTTTTCTTTTTCTCACGAGACAAAAAGCGAGAAGGAGAGTTGTTATTTCCCTCACAGATGAGGCTCTGATGTGTCCAGTGAGATCAAGGTGGAAGCTAGGTGGTGATAGTTATGATAGTTATCTAGGGGTTACTTTCATATTTTTAAAATTGTTATTTTAAAATAATTATTTTAGTTAATAAGATCCTTTTTACTCTGCAGATTAAATAGACTTTTCTACTTTTTTTTTTTTAAGGCACATTGGACATGTTGGTTGGGATCCAAACACAGGTTTTGATGTAAGTATTTTATTATATTGCTCAATGTGCTGAACAGTTACAAGCTACAGAGCTTTTTTTTTAATTTAAGTGGTTGAAGTTTAGCGTGAACTAGATATTAACTGCACTTCACAGTATTTTTGATTACTTTTATTTCTGTAATTTAAGCAGAGAAAGATGGTGGAGGAGCAGAAGGGAACAGAGATGGGATTGAGGGGAAAACATGTAAAACCTAAGTTTTTGTTAGGTACATCCCACTCCTAAAATAGTCCTAAAATTACTTTCCAACTGTAAACCTCCTTTTTCAGGATACTTGAAACTAATCTATTTAATTTACAGGTAAACAACTTGGACCCAGAACTGAAAAACCTTTTTGATCTGTGCGGAATTTCAGAGGCCCAACTTAAAGACAAAGAAACTTCAAAGGCCATATATGATTTCATTGAAAAAACAGGAGGTGTGGAAGCTGTTAAAAATGAACTTCGTAGACAAGGTGGGTTTCCCTTTACTTTCACATCAGATTTTGCAGGTGTTCTTCTGCCTTAAAAATTGGATTGTAACCTGTTGATGATGATCAGTTCTGATCTTCTCTGGTCTTCACATCGCTACAGATATATTGGATTGTAATGCGTTTGTACATGATGCACTGTGGAAGAGACAATCAAAAAAAAAGTCTGTGCCTCACTCATGAGAGTGCTTTTTCCTAAAAAAGTCTTTTCTCTGTCAGCTAAGTAACTTCCAGTAATGTTTTGCTGATTGCAAAGCTATGCAATACATTTCATATGGATTTTTTTTTCAGATTGCAAATGTTATATATTTTATTTATAGCCTGAACCTCATAAATAAATTAAATTCTTAAAAGTCATATATCTGTTATTAGCTGTAGTAGTACAACAGTATGTGGCTGACAAGGATGTGTGCAGCGCAGTGTCCCTTTAGCCCTGGTGGCAGTGTATGCTGTGCCTTGCCGCAGCCAGAGACCAGGAAATCTGATGTAAATGTTTAAAGAAACCAAAGGTGTCACCTCCCTTTTCCACCTCTCCTCCCTGTTTAAAGTAAAAGGTAGCACTTGCTCATTAGGGAGGTCTGATTAAATTTCTGCCTTAGGAAAACTCTAAAATACGTAACTTCTGATTTTTAAATGCAATCTCAGCTGCTGCAACATAAAAAGTCAGTGTGAAAATTACATTGCTAATATCAAACTTCAATTAAAGATTGATATTGAAACCATTGAAATTATAGCCATGTAAAACTGGTGAACAAATTGTTCGAGTGCTTGAATAGCTACAGATTTGGGGTACAGTAATTTATTACATTTATTTCTTAGGTCCCCCACGTTGGAGTGGTATGTATTTGAGTTGGCATCCAAGAATGTGTTTGAAACTATTCCTGCTGCAACTGTGTGATTCTTTTCTAACGGACAGGAAATCCCAGTCCACATTTGTTTGGTGGTGATACTACATGCTAGTCAGACTTTTTAGTTGAATTTCAAGCAAAATTAGAATTCTTGATTTTGTCTCAGTAACAACTCTGTTTCTTTATATAATCTTAACTCTGTTCAGATGTGTACAGAGTTACTGACTGAAGATCTTAGATTGACTTCAAGATTTGTCTTGAAGTTCCTATGACTAGATTAAAATAAGTATAAAATGCTAGTTTTTTTGAAATGTGTGCATTAACGTCGTTAAAACAACTTTGCATGTATGCAAGTGAAAGATTAGCTGCTTTGTCTTTAACATGCATGATAAATATGATGAGGCTTTTGCTGTGTGGTAAAGGTAGATGAATAGTGAATAATAAAAGGTTAACCCTAAAAGTTTAAAATTCAAAATTTCAGTGGTTTTATCCAGAAATACGTTGTGGTGTGTAGTTTGCCTGCTGTTTGAAATGTTCTCTTTTTGCCTCTGAAACACGTTCTCCTGTCTTTTGTTGCAAGAATTTCTGTGCTGAAGTGTTCACCCTGCTAAGATGCTGAAGAGAGTCACAACCCATTTGTTGTTCTGTTGAAACAGACGTTATTTCTCATTTTACTTGCCCACCCTCTCTCTCTGTTATTGCTGTTTTTGGAGGTTGGGTGTTTTGTGGTGGGGACGCTATTGATAGTCTTTACAGCTTCTTTATTAATATCCATGTTCAGATTAATTTGCGTTTTTAAAACTTACTACTTTTTTCACTTGGCATGTATGGGTTAGGATGAAGTAATGGCCTTTCCTCCTTGTTTAAAGGAGAGCAAAACTGACAGGTGTTATAGCTACCTATAGTCTGCTCATAGCAGGGGCTGCAGTACAGGATATGGAATTTTCATTCCTTTCACTTCTCAGTTACAGTGCAGTTAAAGCTTAAAAAAACCTCCTGACTTTATTTCCAAAGTTTGGATGTTGCATATTTCCCTGGCTCTCATACTGATAAATCCTGTGCCTCTGGAAACCTCAGGTTCAAGGCCTGCAGATATTAAAGGCTCTGGAGCGTGTCCGTGTTGTGTACTGGTATATACACAAAAACTGTACGTACTACTTACTGAATAAGTTTCTAGTTAGAAATTGTTGCCCTCAATGGCCAAGAAAATAAGTTAAAGTCAACTGAAAACTGACTTAATTTTTCCTTTCAAGAATGTTGATAATAATTCCTTCTGAGAAAAAAATACAGAATTTGAAAGGAGATTTTCTGCTTGTGGTTTTTTTTTTTTTTTTTTTTTTTTTTTTTTTGAGGGGTGGGATAAAAGAGACAGGAGAAATTTATATAAAGCTTAGGAAAATGGCACTTAGGAGTAATATGCCATTCTATAGGATGTGCAGGGAAGGAGGAATAGGTGGTTCTTCCTTCAAGTGACTTTTTCAGGGATTTCTCCCTGAAATTTCTGTTCCCTGTTCTCCCTGAAATTCTCTGTTCCCTTGCAGACAGGTTGCTTTCTCAGCCGTTAACAGGAAGAGGGTAATAGAGGAGGTAAAAATCAAGCAGGTTTCTTGAGGGCAAAGGCCTTTTCATAGTTAAATCATGTGCAATTAAATCTGATTTTCAAGAAGGAAAGAGAAAAAATCACATATATATGTGAGATATAATATATTATATTTTTTAATCCAGGCACTGTCATATTACTAAGTAGTTATATGAAACAACTGCACAAACCACAAGCCGTTAGATATTTAGTGGAAGAGGAAATCGAATTGTGCTGTTTAAATGCTCTTAGCAGAGGAAGTGCAATTCAACACAAGCTGTTAGCAATGATCCTCTGCTCTGAAGTATCTTTGAAGCTGTTTTTTTCTTATAATCTTGTACATAACAATGTTGTTGGAAATTATTTTCCACAAAAGGGAACAAGACTCAGTTTTGTAAGGGTTGGAGGGGAGAGACAAGTACTTCAATATGTATTTCACTTGAAGTTTGCAGGCATAAAATATGAGAGAAAGGCTCAGAGTAGCTTCTGTTAGCAAAAATGAAGATCACATAAAGATATTTTTGTTTGTTTGCCAATTTCTTCAAGATTAATCTACCCACATGCTTAGAATGTAGATGCATGGTTGTAGTTGCATGTGCTCATGAAGCAGGTTTTTTAGGAGCAAATTTTAAAAAATGCTTGTGCTGTTAGCGAGATAAAACTTCTAAATGAGTGTTAGACTTCTTTTTGCGTGGAAGGGGACTGTTTCAGCAAAACACGGAGATTCCTGTTCGTATTGCCTAGTGGTGGTGGGAGAAGTTGTTTAGGAGGTGCTTTCCATGACAGGAGGAGCAAACTGAGCGGTGTCGTGAAGGCGGCTTTGCCCTGGGAAGCAGTAGCCAGCAGAGAGAGATGCGGGTTTGTGACAGCTCCCTGCCTTGCCCACCAAGGCACATGAGCTGGAGGAGACTCAAGTGGGTCTCTCTGGGTGTCCCCCGTAGCTTGGGGTGCTCTGCCAGGGGCTCTGCTGCCCTGCTGGCTGCCAGGTCAGGTCGGTTTAAGGATGCCAGTGCCCACACTGAGTGCCACGTGCCTGGCACCCTGGGCCTCCTGCTCCCACTGGTAACACGTTCCCAGTCTTTTAGTGCTTGAAGATAATGCTTCAAAAATAATTCCCTCAATAATTTCAGTATAAATTAATAATAATAATCATCATCTATGGAATGGAAATGATGTATACTTCATTTTAAGAGTATTTTGACATCTTTTTTCTCCTTCTTTCACAGTTCAACAGATTTTTTTGAAGGTTTCTTTTGAAATCTTGCCAAATTTTATCAAGAGAAATTGTAATCTTTTAGATATATTTTGGATTTTGAAGGAAATTACTACAGTAGGACATCTCCCCCCGCCCCCCAATAAATAAGTAATGACATAGCTTGTTTTAGAACTTGGGATTCTCTTTATATATGGCAGTCATAGTCTATGCTCTCGAAATAGTGACAGACATAGGGGCTGTGTTCGCCTTAGCTTATGTTCATGTAAATGTTATTTATCTTCAGCCAAATCCAGGATTGGTGAAGCTTGCACAGGCACAGAGATCCGTGTAAAAGGGAAGGCAAAGCTTGGTGGTTGTTGCTTTTTTTTTAAAAAAAAAAAAAAAAAAAAAGGATCTTTCTGTAAAGCTCCTGAATGCTCAGGAGTAGTGAGTAATTCTGTGTTCTGTCTTGTTCTGTTTCAGCTCCACCTCCGCCGCCGCCATGCAGAGGGGGACCCCCTCCACCTCCACCACCACCTCCCCATAGCTCGGGCCCTCCTCCCCCACCTGCTAGAGGCCGAGGGGCTCCTCCTCCTCCTCCTTCAAGAGCTCCCACAGCAGCACCGCCACCCCCACCTCCATCTAGACCAGGTGCAACAGTGCCCCCTCCTCCTCCAAACAGGATGAATCCTCCTCCACCACCAGTGCATTCATCATCTGCACCATCTGGTCCTCCTCCACCACCACCACCACCAGCAAGCGGGTCATCAGTGCCCCCGCCTCCACCTCCACCTCCACCCCCTCCTGGTCCTCCTCCACCACCAGGTCTTCACTCAGAGGTTGACAACCAGCTTCCAGTTCCTGCAGGAAACAAAGCAGCACTCTTAGATCAAATCAGAGAAGGTGCTCAGTTAAAGAAAGTAGAACATAACAGTCGACCAGTGTCCTGCTCAGGAAGAGATGCACTATTAGACCAGATACGACAGGGTATACAACTGAAATCTGTAAGTAAAGCAGTTTCTTCTCCAAGTCCCTAGTGGAACTTGCAAATGGATAGAATACCAAAACATAAACAGTAACTTGTAGCTTTTCCCTTTGGGCTGGATCATATTTTTATTTTTTTTTTAAATAAGGCTTTACTAGTGAAGAAAATGATTAGAAAGTACGTTTGCTACATCGGTTTTTCTCATATCAAATTCACTTCTCACTTTCAGTAAAGTTTTAAATTCAAATTGAAAGAACTTTTGCAAGAAGTACTATGCAGATGCTGCTAATCTCTTGAATACTTCAGTGGAAAAAGAACTGCGGGGAGTGGGCTCAGCAGTAGTGGTACTGTAAAGCAGTCACTAGATCACTTCTTGCCACCTTAGAAGAGTCCTGTGCTCTGCAGATGTTGAGGCTGCCTCTGCCCCTAGTGGTTGTCTCTGTTGTTCCTGCTGCAGCTCAGGGAGTTTCTCGGTGTATTCTCTAGGAAACTCAGTATGTGCAAGGCAAGTTTTGCCCGCAGATACAGCAGTGCTGTTAGGGTGCCTACTCTCTGCGTTGTATGAAATGCATTTATAGTAACATGTTGGCCTAAAAGCCCGGTCACTGATGTCTAGAAGATGTTACACAAGAAAGGTGAGCCACTTCTAACATTACAGGAAAATATACCAAAAATGCCCCATTAATAACACTAAATTGCAAATACTCCTAATGTAAAACTAGCCAGTAGTTAGAATGATTGTAGAAGGAATGTGGGAGGTAACAGAACAGATCATTGCTTTCTGTAAAGTAAGAAAGTCAACATCTTCCCATCTCAAGCCCCACCAACTGGTCCCAGTGTAGCCATGCTAAAGAACAAACTCTTGGCTTTCCTTGCACATGACTAAGTACTCTTTATAAACAGATTATGCACCTGTAACATGTAAATCTGTAACTTCTGTCTGTAGTCACTTCATGTTTAGGAGTATGCTTCTTTTAAGAAATAAGTTTACAGAGAACCTTTTATGCTGTGAAAGTTTTAAAAAGTATTGAAAGCAGTCACGGCATTGAGTATTCCTCATAAAGGAAATTTGCTTATGTGTCTAGGTTGATTAAGTATTATGGCTATAAAAAGGTAAATAAAGACTGTGACACCTTAAAGAAAAAAAGGGAGAGGGAAATAAAGCATATTTATGTGGTGTAACAGTCTTTAATTTACCAGTAAAGTGTAACTATTTCAGTTTGAGATGTTAGAAGCAGTACATTTCTTTGTTAACAAAGTAAACTAGCACGTGCTGCACAGATGTGCAAAGCGTAACGCTATATCCCTCTGGCCTTTGTGTTTGAGGGCTTTGAAATATGAGGGTTTTCTAGAGCTTATGGATTTTCTCACCTGAATTAGTCAAATCTTCTAAAAAAAATTTTTGAGATGATTCTAACACTGAAGAGGGAGAAAATATTTCTAAAGTTGCTTTAGGCCATGTCTCTCTGCTTCCTCCTCCCCGCCCCGCTATATTTTAACTTAAGTCTTTTCACCCTTCTTAAGTCCCCTATTCAGTCCTTCATACTCTGTAAGTGCAATTTGTTTCTTTATCTCTCTTTAGTTATTACTTGTCACCATCTTGCATTGTGCTCCTTACACATTTGGTTTAAACTGCTTTTTTCACAACACTGATTCAACTTTCAGCTAGTCTGATGTTCAGTAAAAGTTTTCTACTCGACCTAATTTTTTTCTCTTAATCTTTGACTCTCATTTCTGCTTTTTTGGTCATTCTTTTGTGCATTTGATGCTTCTGGTGCAAAATGTGTAAGGGCATATTAATATTTAATTGTTAGTACAGGTATGCTCTATGATACTCAAGGCTACTTTCAGAAGGGATTATTGTCCCAGAGTAAACTTGACTAACAAACTTAACAAACAAGAAGAAAAACTGTTGTATACTAGGGATAAAAAGGGTGTCTTTGGGGGAGAAGGGAAGAGCTATACGATCATTATATGTATACATCAAGGTTTCTTTACATCAGGAAGCTTTCTCCTAACTGAGCACTTGCTTCCTGGTGTATGAGTTGCAGTATTGAACACCAGTTCATTCTCAAGCTTAGCTGTCAAAAAAGTTCTGACTTTTTTTTACATAGGTCTAGTTCGAGCTAAGAAAACTGACTCTGTACTTGTCCTTGCATCTGAAAACAAGCTCAGCAGTTTTATAAGGACAGTTTGTCCAGAAATACACAGGTTGTTTTTCTGACTACATCTTTGTGTGCTCTTTTTTCCCCCCTCGAGGTATCTGATGGCCAGGAGAGCGCGCCGCCTACGCCCGCACCCACCTCAGGAATTGTGGGTGCACTAATGGAAGTTATGCAGAAAAGGAGCAAAGCCATTCATTCTTCAGGTAAGCCTGGCAGGATTTTCCTGACATCAGGCTGTCTAAGTGGTAAGGTTTCAGTGGAACATAAAATATTAATAGGAAAAAAAAAGATTTCAGAATACAGTCAAATATAGAATGCTCTAGACAGACCATCAGTGATGGGTTCAGTAGTTACACTGTGGTACTTTATATGTTGTTTGTATATAGTAGCTTGCAGTGATACTGAATTAAAAATTACTGATCAAGGTTAGTAACCACCTCTTCTAAAGACTTTTTTAGATCTGATATATTTTTTATCCACTAGATACCTAATGTAATGTTAGTCAAAAGAATATTTTGGAAAGCAGGGTTTTTAAAAAAATCTGTTTCTAAAGCAAAGGCTCTTGCAGAGTTGGACACTTAGATCTATGTGGTTCCCAGTGTACTTTGGATGCCACCTGCTGGATAGTAAATGAATGGCTAGTTGTGTGCTTTTTACTGAGCAGACTTTTCAGACTAAAATACATTGAAAAAGTAAGACTACAGCAGTGACTAGAGGATTTGCATTTTTCAAACATGAACTTGTACATGCAACATACACATACAATAATAAATACAGTTCAGTAGCTGCAGTGCAGCCATTTGATTGCATCTCTTCTTTTTCAGTCTGATACCTTTTTTCTTCCAGAGTTTGTCAGAACCAAATCTGCACTTGCACTCTGCAGACACTTGGGTTGTCTCCAATATAATTACGTATTGCCTTGTTGACCTCCATAGTAATTTCAATTTTTACACAAATTGCTTTACACAAACACCAGAAGGATACTAAATTCAAAGGTATTAGGAGGTGAATTTCCTGACCTGACAAATCAGTATTTTCATATGTACAATAATTTAATAATTGTCGCCAAATAAATGTATAAAGAAAAATGGAAGATGGAATAAAGTTAAAAATAGAAGCACTCTGTAGCATTCCAGTAACAGTAGCAGTCTGTAGCCAACAAGAACTCTTTTTTTCCTGCTTAGGTAGTAAGAAAAAAATCTTTTCATGAGGTAAGTTTGAGGAAGCAGTTCTTAACTTCAGGAGTGAATCTGTCCCTGAAGTTAAGAATTTAGCGTGAACATGGGAACATGGTATCTACTCACTTTTTTTCAGAGAGAAGTAATAACAGTAAAAGCATGAATAAAAACTTTTCTCTGTCACAGCAAAAGAGAAGTCTGCCCCGCACACACCCTCCCTCCCATAGTAGGAAGTCAGTGAGAAATGAAAGGAATTAGAATTTATATCTTGATAGTGGTTGCAGCTTAAGCTGAATGTCACATGTAGTGTAGCAATTTTAGTAAAATACTTCGGGGTTCCCAAATACATTGTCTTGGCTTCATTGAAATAATGTTTCTATTCCATGAAAATTGTGGAACAAATATGGAAGACTTTTGCCCAGCATGCAAGTGACTTGTACTTCCTTGTCTTGCAGATGAAGATGAGGATGAAGATGATGAAGAAGACTTTGAGGATGATGACGAATGGGACGATTGATCATATATTATATTATATATATATATTTTTTAAGGTGAATGATATACTAAACACACTTTCTGTCTATGGATTCTGTAAAATTTATCATGTAAATGTTCTACCAATTTGCTGTATATTTTTGTTGCCTTTTGCTTTTTTATTAATCTGTGCAATACCTCATTTAATCTGTAAAGGTTTGTCATAATCCTCTACAAAGCTACTCCCTGTTAATGTGTGCGAGTTTACACCTGGATGATCATGTGAATACTTTCCATTCCATCAACAAGGGAGTTTAAATGTAATATGTGAGACTGACAAAAACCTTAATGTAATTTAGTTATAATGCAAGAAGGAAAACACTATTTTCATACCCTACTTTTTCTGTATCTAAATTTTCTTATTAAAACCTAGTATAGCACTATGTTCTTTAAGTGATGCAGCTCTTAGTTTGTTTAGCCCCTTCATTTCACATGCAATATTACATGAATGTTGAGGCTGGTTTATAATATTGCACAGTTACAAGTACATCACAACATTGCAGTTGAAACCTTTCTAGTACACTTTACATAAAAGCAAAATCATACAGATATGCACAGCTAGTTGTGAAGATTACCTTGCCCCAACTGTAGCAATACGGACTGCTCTTGAACAGCAGGGAATAATTGAGTGCTTTAATTAGAGAACTGCCTATCTGAGGTCAAACAGGGTAGTAAAGTAGTGGTAAGGATATCTTTGGTGCAGGCCAGTTCAGTCCTCTCTTTCCAGCTCTTATCTTTAAAAATGAAGAAGTGTAAACTGCTGGGGGGCTTTACTGGAGTCTGGCAATTGCTACAGTTTGATTTATTTTTAAAAATCAATTTTACCTGTTATTTGGGCTGAAGGGCTGCATTTAATGCTTGCTTCAATAATGTTTAATTACATTTTAAAATGTGTAGGGCATTGGTGTACTAATAAAGTAAACTTTAGTGGTATTATTTTGCAGTCTTTGAGTTATGGTACATAACAAATGCTGAAGCACCAGTCCCACGTCCAGGAAGTCGGGAAGCTGTTGACTCGGAATATACGCTTTGAATATGTGCTGAACTTTATGGCAATATTCTGTCTTCATATGCTGGCTTTAAGACCAAGGGTTGTGATGAAGATCAAGGACCCTGTTCACGGGAATGGTATTGGAGTAAGTGGACAGAAAATTGGGTTTCTCATTTCACAGCTTGCACATCTATCTAAGTTGTACTTTTATAGTGTGGTAAACATTGGCATATCTGCCTATTACAAAATATTAATCTGTGTTAGGTGGGTATTTAATATCTGCAGCGCTAATTACTGTTACTTACTGTAATTTTCAGGTAGAGTGTGGTTTTTTCTTTGTTTTCTTTTTCTGAGAGAACCACATTAACTGATGCAGAATATTTAGTTAAGTCAGTCATATTTGGAGCATAGTTAATACATAGTGTTCCTGGATCTCTGACTGTAGTCAAGGTATCAAATTAAATTTAAGTTATCGGAATTGTATTGACTGAAACCCAGTGTTGACCTGATCTTGACAGGCTGGACCTGCATGATACGGCTTGGATTTCTAACACAGTTATAACCTAGTCTTTAGAGAATGAGTTTAGACATACGAAAAAGAAAGGAAAGTTGCTGAAAGATAGTGGGAGAGGTATGGTTGTAGTTAAATTATTCAGAGGATGCTGACTTTCTTCCAGGAGTAATTTAAGCACATAACTTGAGGAAAAAGAAAATTGCAAGTGGTCTAACTTTCCTGCGGTAGCTTTTGCATTGCCCTCTGCTACTGGAAACCCTTCCTACCAGCTTTGCTGCTGTAATAGCTTGAGCATTGAGTCAAGTGCAAGTGCAGCCTGGGTCAACTAATGTCCGTGGAGTTACAAGCTTGTGTATAAAGAAAACAATTGTATGGCTTTCATATAACTTCTGGCTCTGCTACCTTATTCTTACTGCATATAGGGCATTTAAAATTAAGCAGATGAGGCCTAGAGATTTTCCAAACACGCTGATTAATAGGTATGTTTAGCTCTTATGTTTTCTGAGTTGGGATTTCTGTAATATAATTATGCACATTACAGTTCATTAATCAGATTTTGATTCCAGGTTTTGGGGAGCTCTGGTGAAGTTTTATTATTGAATAAAACTTTTTATTTGTAGATATCAGCCAAAGGGATGGCTTTTCTTTTTTTGTTTTTCCTTTTTTCCTTTATATTTTTTTCTCCATATAAAAAAGTACACCGACATTCTGTGGTGTCCGGATTAATATTCGCTTTACGGTAGTGCGTGTCCATGACAAAATTCAGGCACAAGGACTGCAATAGCAATGAAGGTAAAGTCTTGCCCGCGTGCTTCAGCGCCCACCGCTTGCACTGTGAGCAGAAGACAGCACTTGGTGACACCGGGGCCTTGCAGCAACGGCCTCTCCTGTGTGCTCTGGTTCAGTGACTGCCCAGGTGGCCTTAGCAATGCGCAGACTAGCATGAGGCTTGTGTATCTCAACACTCTGTGTGCATAGACGGTATCAGCTCGCCACTTATACCTATGAAACCCGTAAAAGAGAAAAAAAAAAAGTCTCAAATCATTCAGTTTTCCATTTATCGAACTGAAATTTTTAGTATGTGAATTTTTGAAATGTACAGTGAATAGGATGTTGCACTGGTGGCAATTCATCATGGAGCATAATAAAATTCATTTGACCCAACTAGTGTAAAACTGTGTTTCTTTTTTATTTGGTTTCTAAGTGTTAACTGTAGTGCAATGTTTTTTTTTCCTCCTCTCCTTGAAGGTTAATAGTCTCATGTCTGAGTTTTGTTATACAAGAATAGCTTTTAAAATAGCTGTACGTATTGATTACACACTTAGAAAGTAATTTTGGTCGCCCAGCCAAGTTCTCCGAGCAGTAAATAGTTGCTGTCAAATCTCGGTAGATTTCACGTCTCTGGAAAGTTGGATAGTGCTGGTGAATAAACACAGCGAGGACGGGAATGCAACAACACCCTGGCCCCGCTGGGAGCAGCCCCTGCGGCCGGCAGGTTCAGTAGCACAAGAACCTTGCAAGGTTAAGCAAAAATAGCTCTGTTAAGAAACGGCCCGGAATGAATGCTCAGTAGTTGGCTCTTTTCAGAAAACTCTGATTTATTAACCTTTTTTCAAGGTGTAAGTGTCTTGTACCTAAGGAAGTAGTGCTGGAGATCGTTACATGTCATAAATCTGCTTTTCTTCTCTAGGTCAGACTAGCGGCCGTCTCAGGTGTATATCTGGTGTACACAGTTGCGCTTTCCTAGTTCCAGGCCTCAACACCAAGTTCAGGTGGTGGTTGATGGGGCTGGCGGGGCCTATGGTGACTTCCTCTGTGGTGGTTGATGGGGCTGGCGGGGCCTACGGTGACTTCCTCTCCGCCCCGTGAACAGAAGTTAAAACAGAAGGGCTTCTGAAAGGAAGCTTTTCTTTCCAATTTTCATCATTTGGTTGACAACAGTTACTAGCATTGTGTTCCCAAGTAACGTACACATAAAGAGGGGAAAAAAAAGGAGTGAGTTTTTTTGTTTTGCTGCCTTTTTTTTTTTTTTTTTTTTTTTTTTTTTTTGAGGGCTGTTTGTCAACCCATTGTAACACCCTTTATCTAATCACTAGAGGAATTCCTAGTCCAATTAAAGTTCCTGAAGCTTGAGTGCAGTGATAAGCAGCTTTATTTTTAGAAAAATGAAAATGGTTTAGGGAAGCTTAGAAGATATTAAACTGTTTTCTTTCAAAAGGAGCAGTGTAACTGCGTGGCACTGCCATGAGAGAGCCTGTTACTCTATATTTGTTTACTGGCTGGGGTTCTGTGCGTGAGGAGAAATAAAACACGGGGCAATAGCAAGCTAGGACATTAGCTGTGTAGGGCTAATGGGGATGGTGAAGCTGGCAGCCAGTTTCTAGCCTGACATTTTTCTCTCTCTCGGATAATACCTGAAAGTTTGAGGGTGTTTATAGAGATGTGGAAGAGATTTTTGTTGATTTTTAACAACTTAGTTTTTGAAAATTGAAGCTATGAAAGAAACACGTCAGGAAGAGAAATGGAAGCAATCACTGTATCAGGTTTGAAATGCAAATACTAGGAGTTGTTTTCTGACAACATTTATCGCATGTGCTGAATTTTACAGTGTTTGCAGAGTAGCTTGCTGGAATGAACCAGAATAGTAATTTGTCTGATACTCGAGTTCCCCTCTGACATGGTTCTGGGCGACATGGTTATGGCGCCTACCTGCAGCGCTTCCCCATCTCTAGGCAGCTTAGTGTTTTACATTTATGAGAGGCTTTTTGTCTATTAGCACTAAAATACATATTTAAAGGCCTTGCTGCTTGTGCTCTGAAGTGCTGTTGGAGTCTTTGGGGAGGGAAATTCTTAAGCTGTTACTTCATGTTTCCTTTTTTCTCCCTCCCTGAAGGTTAAATTGTCTCCGTTCTGAGTTTTGTTATTCAGGCAGCATGGATTTTCAGCTTGGTACTCGGTCATTAGAGCAGGGAGCATAATATTTTCCGAGAAACTTCAGGGGAGTTTTAAGAAGAGAACAAGTTGGAGAAGAGCAATAACCATGTGCTCTTGTTTGTGCAGACTGTGCAAGGTAACAACCTGGAGTTTAAAGCTGGAGACTAAGAGCTAAGAGTTGATGATAGCACTTGTGCAGACGCAGTAATTAAGTACCACGGGCAGGCAGTTAAAGTCACTTCTGTGAATGTTGATGCCAAAGAATAAACAACTGCCAGAGCAGTTGAGCTGGCTCTGGAAGCCTTTGTAGGTAGGTGAGACTTTCCTAGATATTTGGGGAACAAGTTACACTGATTAGAGAAGTTCACATTTGGGTTTTGTGTGTGTGAAAGAAACAGTCTGTCCTGTTAGGTGCTACTGTCAATCTTTCATTTTTGAATATTTTTTTTCAACCAAAGCAGCAACTATTTCCTCATCGTTGAGGGAGAAAATAATCCTCAAATGATAAATCCTTTGGCAGAGCTAAGTCTGTTTACCTGTCAGCAGGGAATCTGTATTTATTTTAATGGTCAACACGAAATGGAGAAACATTCAAGCCCTAGTTTAGGTAAAACCCATGGCACTCTGGAGCCCGAGCCCGACCACAGCGAAATTTTGTAAACATAAAAGGCTGGTGGCTAGAGCAGGAGAATGCAGTCTTGTGAAGCACCCTCTCCAAAATTAGAGTTTTGCCTGTTGTAGTTTAAATAAGCTGGTCCTCAGAGAAAGAATTACTGACGTTACCTACTGTCCCCAATGCCTGTAAGAAAAGTAGTTCTGGAGAGCATGTGAGAAGCCCTGTTATCACTCATATTGAACAGTGGTCAGGCCTAAATTTGGAATTTGGCACTTCAAAAATGCTTATAGTGGCTTATAATTTAAAAAAAAAAAAAAAAAAAAAAAAGCTTCTTGTATCAAAGTGGCTGATAAGGTCACATGACAGGGAAAGTATAGACCATAATCTTGCTGTTTTAATGGGGATGCTATTGATTAGTTCTCAGCATCCCATTGGAGTCGTACCTATGCACTGCACTGCCTTTTTCCTACATGAATAAATCTGATTTCTGGAAGAAAAGCATAGCAAATGGTATGCAGAGCTTTTTGTTTCTTCTGTATGTCTCACATTCTGACAAAAATAACACATCTTTATATGTACTTCCTAATGGCTTTTCCACAGCCTTGGTCTGAATGGTGTACTCTGGTTCAGAGAAAGAACTGCAGACTTTCTTGGCAGGTGCTCTCTTGGCAGATTTTTCATGTTCTCAGAAAAGCATTTGTATATAGCACATGGTGGTAATGTGTTTCTTGGCCAGGCAGCCCATCGGTTTTCAAAGGGAACAGAAGTTGTTCCTGGTGTGGATTCCTCTTGGAGAAAAGGAATGATCTTAACTACATCTTTATTTTAAGAGTTCTTAGGAACATCTAATGACCAATAAAGAAGTTGTTCCTAGCTTGCTGCAATGGCCAAGGTGAGATGGGTGGCTGAGAAGATGATTCCTCAAGGATTCAACCCAACGTAGACCTTTGTTGGTATCCAAAGTCTTAGAAAAGAAACTGATTGGGAATTGGCCAGGAAGCACCCCTAGGCTGCAGGGTGTACTGCCTGCTTCGTGTGTGTTTTACTTCTGTGCTACCGACCTCCTGAAATGCCCCGAGGCTCCGGCCGCGGTCGGTCAGGACAGCCAGGGTGGTTGTGAGGGTCCCGGCAACTCCGACTCGTACGTGAGGAGCCGCCCTGCTCCGTAGCCTCTCAGCGTTGCCCTTCTAGCCTAGCTACGTTATCTGGATTTGAGATTAGAGCTGTGTTCCTTATACTTCACAGTATGGGTGCTGGCTGATGAGCCTTAGCAAAGCGAGTCTTCAGCTGAAGGACAAAACAGCCCTATGGAGCACACAAGGCCTGCAGGCCTTCTTCTCATTTGCACTCAATGATATAACCAAAAGGATTCCCAAATGGCTGCAGGCATGGGCACTGACTAAAATCAAGTGTAGTGGTTCTTGAAGTTATGACCCATATTACTTATTTCACTCTCAGAACAACCCCTCTGTTAGATCAGAAATCTTCTAGGAGATGATTCAATATGAGAAGATAAGATCTTCATACCCCTAACTGGACGCTAAAACTAGATTTATGCTTCTCAAATAGTGTTTTTCCTGAAACCATTTCAGGGCTAAACCTGTTACCCTGAGACTGCTAATAGCCCTTCAGAAGGGTAGTAAAAACTCAGAGTATCTGAACACCTGCCACCTTGCTCATTTTTCCCTGTGAGAACTCACGCCGTTTGTTAGGGATGGGACAGGGCCCTGGATGCTGCTGCTGCTGTGCGTGGTTCAAGTATCTCATCTAGCCCCAGGCAGAACAGCTTCACAAACATTAGGCTGGACACTCAAAAAGCCACCTCGAAACCACAGAGCTAACCTGAGCAGTTAGATCATTTCTGTGTGCAAATGCTGGGTCATCCTCTAGGTCCACCTTAAGCTGTGCTTTTGAGTTCCATCTCCAGGGTCAAAACCCTGGAAAACCAGCCACAGCTCCTCACGGATTCAGCTTTAATGAACT